AATTTGGTTGAAATGGGACAAGTCACACTGGTAGAAGAAACAATGCAACAGGCTCTGATTGAAATTTTCACTCTATTAGTCTGGTGTGGTGGTGTTGCTCAGGGGGCTGAGGCAGGAGAATGGCAAGTTTAAGGCCAGCCTGGGCTACAGAACAAAAACCTGTCTCAAAACAAACACATAAAATTAAAATAAAAGAAACTTACCGTCTTTGCTGGGGCAGTGAGGAAAAAAAATGTAGAGATAAACAAAGCTCCTTAACTTTGCTAGGTACAAGGAGGGCTTAAGAACCAAGGCCAGTGAGGCTGAGACAGCGCTCCAGGGCCCTCTGGTTCCCTGGGCTGAGACAAATTGCATTGCCGTTTTGGGGTTGGGCCTTGTGTGGGGCTCAGACATACCCACTGCCCTTGCACACGTCTGTCTTGGCAGGCAGTGTTAGGCAGACTGGAGGGGGAAAAGTTTGCTTGGTTTGGTTACTTCGTTGCTTGTTGGCATGGCCTCTGTTTCTCTCTGAAACATTGTCTTGTTCTACAAAGAAATATGGGTGGGAGCCATGATTTGGGGTGTCTGGCAGCCCATCCTTAACCCTTTTGTCTTTGTCACAGTTCTGATGATGTTCTCTGTCAAGGGAGTGAGCTCTAGAAAGACGTGAACTCTATCCCGCGGGCTAGTCTAGACACAGGAATCCTTGTGGAAATAGTAAGAACACTTAGTGTCTGACTTTGTTTAAAGTAAAAATAATAATAATGTTGACCTTCTAAGTAGTTGTCTATGGGATGAAATCATGGGTCTTCCTTCCTACTCATAAACTGTGGCCCCAGAGCCCAGGCTGCCTGGGGTTTCACTTCCTTATTCTCTCTCACCTGGGAGTATGTTTGTTCCCAAACTCATCTTTGGGATGACGTCCTGCCTTTGGCTGAGGGACGCCTTCCCCCCTAGGAGTGGACATCAGGGCTCCTTTTTTTAAAAATCACTTTCCACCTTATTTTTTTGAGATAGATTTTCTCATAAATGTGGAGCTTACCAATTTGGCTAGATTGACTGGCCAGAGAGTCCTTGTGATCTGTCTGTCTCTGCCTCCCCAGCAATGGGGTTATAGACATATGCTACCACACCCACTTTTAAGTGGGTGCTGGGAATCAAACTCAGGTCTTCATGCTTGCCCAGGGAGCAAATAACCTACAGAGCCATCTCCCCAATCCCCTCATTGGCCTGTTTAGGTGTCCTAACCATGGACCAGACTTTCTGCTCAATCCCTAACCTCAAGGCAGGATGGACTGTGCTGTCAACCCTGGACCCCTTAGTTGAGCCCCAGCCTGTTAGGTTGGTGAAAAGACCTGGACCACTAGAGACCACTCTGAGGCGAGAAAAGAAGAAATTTATTGCAATTCACAAGCTGCTGGACTGCTCCCATGGGAGAAAGGGAACAGTGGTTTCTTGTCACAGCAAGCTAGATTTTATAGGATTTTTCTTTTGTGGGGAGAGGGAGGTGAGACTCTCAGAAAGGTGAGTCAGTAGCAGGTGCCTTGGTAGGGGGATTTCACTTAGGTGTTTTTCAGTTTTTCAGTTGGCTGTGATGAAAAATTTCTGTTATGATCAGGGTGCATCATTTTGGTTTTTTAAAATATCTTGTTTATTATTTTTATTTTATGTGTATGAGTGTATTGTCTGCATGTATGTGAGTGCACCTGTGCAATGCCGCAGAGGTCAGAAGATGGCTTTAGATTCCCCTGGAACTGGAGTTAAGGATGGTTCGTAGCCACCATGTGGGTACTGGGACTCAAACCTGGGTCCTCTGCAAGAGCAGTCAATGCTCTTAACTGCTGAGCCATCTCTCCAGCCCCAGGGTGCATTGTTAAAGCAATGGTTACTGAGAAACTAGAATGATCTAGCTTGTTTCCTGGAATGCTGTCCACCAAGTTGTGATCGCCATATTGCTGGTCAGTAGTCACTCCATCTTGGGGCCCAACTTGGCCTAACACAGCCCAGCTCCTCAGGTGTCAGAAAAAAATTTTCACAAACCATCATGGCCAATACCTAGGTGCCTCCAGACCCATACTCCTTTCCTCTAGATTGTTCTAGGCTGAGGCACAGTGAAAGAACAAACACATGTCTTTAACCTCTTCCATATCTTTTATAGGTAGGAACAAGGGGTTAGTGAGCAGGCTGAGGGAATGAACAGTCACTCTGGAACAGGAGGCTCTTAGAGATGGACTAAATGTATTTTGCGTTATAATAGGATATGAATTTTGGGGGCCAGGTCAGAATGCTAAAATATCACCCCAAAAGTTCATAAGTTCATAAGGTGAAGGCTTGGTCCCCAAAGTAGCAATGTTCAGAGGTGAGGCTTTGGGGGAAGTGACTGATCATGAGGGCTCTGACCTCATTAGCAGATCAATCCTTTGTGGATTCAGAGCTTAATGGACTGTTGGGAAGTGGTGGGAACTTCATGGGGTTGGAGAAAACAGGTCCTTGGGCCTGTTTTGTATGTATCTTGGCCTCTCTCTCCCCCCTCTCTCTTTCTCTCTCTCATTTCCTGGCTTTTGAGGTGAGCAGCTTTGCTCTGCTGTCCACTATGTGCTCTCTGCCATGAAGTTCTCTCTCGCCACAAGCCTCCACACAATAAAGTCCAGTGACTGTGGACTGAGGCTCTGCAACTGTGAGCCAAATCAATCCTTCCTCCTTTTAGGCTGATTATCTCAGGAATTTTTCACAGTGACAGAAAGCTGAACTCAGTGACCAGCAAACAAAAAAGTGGCTGGGGAGTGGCTTGATGAATACCATGGTTTGAATGAGAATGCCCCCCCTCAGTTGGCTCAGGTATTTGAACACTTGGTCCCCAGTTGATGGGGCTGTTTGGGGAGGTCATGAATTCTTTAGGAGATGGGGTCTTGCTGGAGGAAGTGTGTCACTGGGAGAGGGCTTTGAGAGTTCGTAGCCTTGCCCCACTTCTAGTTCTGTCTCTGCTTCATGTTTGTGACTGAAGATGTGCTCTCCTAATGCTATGCCTGCTGCTTTCTGCCCTGCCTCCCCACCATGATGAATTCATTCCTCTGGAATGATAAACCAAAATAAATTCTTTCTTCCATAAGTAACTTTTGGTCATGGTGTTTTATCACAGCAACAGAAAGATAACTAAAATGGGTAAGTGCTCTTGCTGAACAAGCATGAGGACCTGAGTCTAGATCCCAGCACCCATGTAAAAAGCTGGGCATGTATATGTGCATCTGTAACCCCAGTATTATTGGGAATAGAGACAGGAGGATCTCCGAGGCTTGCTGGCCACCAACCTAGCTCCAGTTTCAGTGAGAGACCCTGTCTCAAGGGGATTGATAGGGTTCAGATCCAGGCAACCCCAGACCCAGAAACCATAAGGCCCCTAAGAGGAACTGAGTCAGCCAACTCCCAGCCACCTGCAAGCTGACAAAAGCAGCCCTGGAAATGGGTGACCCAATGCACTGTGATCATCAGAGCATGCTCCACAGGCTGACAAACAGGTTTCCTAAGCCCTGTAGCTGCAATGGGTTCCTGGGACCCTGTAAGTGTAAAAAACATGTTTTACAGTAGATGTTTTCCTCGATAAGTTTCACCAGGTACAGACCCCATGCTCTCCCTGAGCAGCCACAAAACAGCCCCAAACAGCAGAAAAATATTCTCTTTTTCCACATTCTTTTCCCTTTATAAGCTACCCCCTGCAGCCATTAGATTGCTAGTTCTTCCTCACACTGAGTTGTGGCCCTGTCCCACCAACCTATTAAACTCTTTGCCAGAGTCCTCTCTGTTTCTGCTTGGTGGTGATCCCGACCCCTGCCACCTTTTTATCTAACAGGGATAAGGTGGAGCCTCCTGAGTGCTGGGATCACTATGCTCAGCTATGAAAGTAAATGACCTTTTACTTTGCAGAGCAAAACATCTCTGATGAATCTACTCAGTGTTTGTGTCGTGGAAAACAGCCACGTTGCACACTCATGGCTGTGTGACAATAAAACTTTATGGACGCTGAAATTTGAATCGCATATAATGTTTACATTATGAGATATTCTTCGTATTCGTGACATTTTCCTCTTTTGGTTTCTTTTAACTGGTTAATGCTGTAAAAAACTATTCCTGTCTTGCAAGCCACACAAGAGGCAGTGAGCTAGGTCTGTCCCACAGGTGAGGTTTTCCCACCTCAGCTGTGCTAGGTAGAGTGGGACTCCAGGTTCACAGTAGGCCTTTCCTGTCTGCCAGTCAAGTCTAACGTCCATTTCTGAAGGCTAGGTTCATTACAGTGGGGTCTGAGGAGGCAGCGGTGTTTAAATGATACCACTGCCTGTGTGCTGATGTTTTTTGCAAGATCAACCTGAGAAGCCAGACTTGAGACTGTGGGCCTTCAGTGCTGAGCATTGCTGGATGATTCTAGAAATAACCCCTCCTATTTTTAACACCCTTGTCTAAGTCAGAGAGTTTCTAGTTTCATTCCAAGCCAGTCCAGAGCTCAGAGAAACAAACTGGCATCCAAAACCTATAAACCAAGCTCAAAAGCCCCAGGAGACACACCTTTCCTTCTTTTCTTCTCCTGGGTCTGAGGTGCCTGGTCTAGGGCCAGGAATCTGAGCAATTGCTATGAAAGGCACAAGGGAAAAAGGAAGTTTTCTTAGAGTTTTTATTTCAAACCACAGACAGATTCAAAAATGTCCTGGAAGTCAAGGGGTGGGGCTTCAGGTCATTGAAGAGGGTTTCTTGTCATGGAGGAGAGAGGAAGGAGGAGCTGGCTCTGGATACAGGTGACACCCAGGACTAGTGAATGAGCACAGCATGTCCCTGGAAGGTTTCTAAAGATCACCAGAACCAGCTCCTTAAAGAAAACAGGTGCACCGAGGCAGCCTCGAGCTGGGGCGGCTGCAAGGGCAGGTCTCTCCAAATGCCCATGCCACCACTGGCCTGCTTACCCTGACCCTGGGCCGGTCTGCATTCATGTCACAGTCCAGAGAGGAGCTCAGAGGAGGAGGAAGCTGATGACAGACCAGGGCAGATGTAAAACTCCCGCCTCACCTCCAAAAGGTTCTGGGCGGCCTTGGTTTTCCTGCAGCTAGTGCTCCGGCTCAGCATCCATGCAGGACTCCCAGGGGTTCTGCGGCATCCGAGGAAGGGAGAAGAGCAGGAGGAACAGCCCACCGAGGAAAAGCAGGATGAAGGCTGCACAGGCGCAGGCGAAGGACCATGAGTAGTAGTGCTCGATCCAGACGGTGTCCTCGCTGTCAATCATGCGCTTCACCGATTGCCTCATGACCTCCACCGAGACAACAAGGCAGAGCCCTGGGCACAGAGTCAGGGGTCTTAGGGACTGAGGGTGTTCCTGCTGTCACCCCAGCCCTCTCCAAACCCATGTCCCCTGCCTTTGACATGGCCCTGAAGGGACACTGCTTCTAGATGGTTCTAATTGGGAACCTGCACAAAGTAGCTCATTAGCCTGCCACTTTGCAGTTTCCACCTCCCAAAGGAGGTTAGCCAGAGACTGGCCACATTTTTCTTTTGTTAATTGCTCTCTGTGGCGTTTCCTAGGTGTCCCTCCTGAGGATAGTGTCGTTGGGGAATGAAGGGCCAAGGCAGGCACTCTCTCTCTCCCAACCTTCCCTGGGTTACTGAGACTCTGAGTTTGCTTCTGCATGAAGCCTGCCTAGTACTGAGGGAGGCCTGAACACGGAGTGGGAAACCCCAAGGAATCTCCCTCCCTCCTGGGCATGGTGGGACCTTACTCTACCTGCAAAAGCATAGAACATGGATGCTGGCCTCAGCAGGTAATCACGCTTATTCCCAAAGGACAGAAGTGCACAGATGGAGCCCACGATGATGAAGCCGAGGCTGAAGATGGCGATGGCCGCTGCAGAGATGCTGTACTCTGTGAAATGGAGGGCACCTCAGAACCGGAGCCACCCCAGGAGCCTTGTACCATACCGGCAGCCTGGTTAGTGACCACACTGCATCCTTGATTCCCATTTCACACCTGATAGAGAGGCTCACTCACTCACTTGATTCACTTAAAGTCACATGCTGGGGAGGGGTGAGGCCAGATGTTGATAGGATGTATCTTTCCCCTGCTATTAAACTGCACGGTGACCTGGAGCAAAGGCCTCAGGGTGCTATATAGCTGGAGACTTTTCTAGAGCAAACTCCTTCCTGAGTGACAGGCAGAAGGAGGCAACAGGCTGTGGGTGGTCTATCTTAGATTGACAGGGGACTCTGGAAGGATGACAGAGTGTGGGTATTACCTATCATGTGAGTGTGAGGGTGTGTGTGGGTTGCCTAGTGCTGTAAGGATATGTGCGCGTGTACCTACATGTGAGGTTTCGTCAGTGTGTATGTGTGTGTGTGTGTGTGTGTGTGTGTGTGGAGAGAGAGAGAGAGAGAGAGAGAGGAGGCGCTCTGTCAGCATGAGTGCCTGTATGTCAGGCTCTCAGTGTGTATGCATGCCCCAAGTATGTAGATCACATGGGCCTGCATGTCAGGTGAAGCTACCACACATGTGTGTATCTATGTGGGCTTGCACACAGTGTGGCCGTGTACCCCACACAGGCCAGGCTCTGCCTCATGATGAGTGTCTCCGAGCTGCATTGATCCACCTGGGAGCCCCATGTTTCCTCAGCTCGGGGAGCGATTAGTAAGTGAGGGTGGGACTCCCACTGTCCCTGAGACTCACACCAGCCCTGTGAACCTGCCCCAGGATGATGAACACTTGGCTCATTTTCTTAGCTGTCTGCCACATAGCCTCTCTTGGCTCTCCTGGAAAAAATATTTTTGCTGCAGTTTAGAGCCTGCCAGCAAGTCTCCTTCACCTGTTGTCCCCAGCACCAACCAAAGAGTGCCTGAACTGCCTGTTGTGTCCCTGAGCAGCGATGTGACAGGGCACCAGCCTGCAGCTGCTTTTCGTCAGGAACAAGAGTCAGTGCTTTCTGCCAAGTGCCTCCCTCCTTCAGCAGCCTGTGACAGAAGTCGCTCCCCTCGCCCACTGTCTTCCCATGGCCTTACCCTTCTGAGTGGTGAATTCAAAGATCTCGGAGCTCTCGCCTGGGTTGAAATGCCTGAAGTAGGAGCAGTTCTTTTCTGTAAAGGAGGAGACAGCCTGTGAGCTGCCAGAAAGGACAGGAGCTTTCTTGCTGGGCACAGAGGGGGCCCCTGGCTGGCTCTCTTTCCCTAGATCCTGAATCTGGATCCCTGACCCATAACACACCATTAGGGTAAATAAAGGGTTGCAAAGGAAGCTGGGACAGTGTCAGGGAGTGAAGGCTGATGGCTCAGAAGAACAAACAGTGAACAAGCCTTGAGCCCATTAGGCAAGTGGCCTAACTGAGGCCCAGTCTTAGTTCCCCAGTGTGTGAGGGTAGAGGGAGGTGCTGTATGCATGCTCAGTAAAGAACCAATCAGTGATTTTCAGCGGGTGGATCTCTCTCCTGTTTCTCCTGAGGGTGCTGGACAATGCCTAGAGGCCAGGCGATTGTGTTAAAACCCTGCAGCTCACAAGATAGCCTGCCACAGCATGAAATAAGCCAGTATAAAACGTCAGTGATGAGGTTGAGGGATCTGGAATCAAACCAGAACTCCACCACCCCTGCAACCCCCCATCCCCCGCCCCCCCCAGTTCCATTCACAGAGAGACCTGGGAAACAGCATTTGTCACAAGATTTCCAGGAGCTGGAGCTGGGTATGATGGCATATGCCTTTAGTCCCGGCACTTGGGAGGCAGAGCTGGGCGGATCTCTGTGAGGTTGAGGCCAGCCTGGTCTCCACAGCGAGTTGCAGGGCAGCTGTGGCTATAGGGAGACCCTGTCTCAAAACAAAACAAAACAAAACAAAAAAGATTTCTTAGGCTGATCCCCGAAGCTCAGCCTAGCCAATAAGTGAACTCCAGGTTCAGTAAGAGACCTTGTCTCAAAAAATAAGGTGGAGAGTGGTTGAAGAATGTCAATCTCTGCTTTCACATGTACACGCAAGCACATGCATGTGCATACCAGCCTGTAATCGTACACACACAGCTTTCCAGAAGACTCCAATGCTCTCCCAGGTTGGGAACCCCTGCTTTACCCTGCAAAGGGCTTTCCTTCAAGTTTTCCAGATATCAGGTGCAGGCAAAGAAATTCCACACATGACTATGTGTGGTCATCCGTCAGTTCTTCAGCCCCTCAGGACCTGAGCCCTGAGGAGCCCAGGCAAGACCTTCCTGGCAAGTTGCTTGTACACCTGACTATTGTCTTTAAGGCCATTGATGGTCTGTGGACAGTATATTTGATGGGGCAGCAGGAGAGGGGTTTGGTGTAAATATAGGGATGATTTTATGCACAATTTCCCTACTAGCTATACAATCAAAGCACAGTCTTATTTCTTATTGAATACACTCAATATTATTAATCCCTGAATTAGAAAGTGCATGAATAGTTACTTCATTTTGAGACAGGGTCTTATGTAGCCAAGGCTAGCCTTGAACTCCCTATGTAACCAAGGCTAACCTTGAATACCTGATCCTTCTGCCTCTATCTCTCAAGCGTTGGGATTTCAGGTATTTGCTACCACTTCTGGTTTATGTGGTACTAGAGATGGAGTAAAGGGCTTTGTCCATGCTTTATCAACTGAGCTACATCCCCAGCCCTATTTTATACTTCTTTTTAAATTTTTAAATTTATTTTTGTTTTCTGTGTATGGATGTATTGCCTGCATGTGTGTAAGTACATCGGGGTCATGCAGTGCCTATAGAGGACAGAAGAGGGCATCAGACCCCCTGGAACTGGAGTTACAGACAGTTGTTAGCTGCTATGTGGGTGCTAGATTCGAACCCTTGTCCTCTGCAAGAGTAGCGAGTGCTTTTCACCACTGAGCCATCTCTCTAGCTCTGTCTCCCTTAGTAGAAAAACATCTCTGCCTTTAGTTGCAATTGTATTGAGTTTGTGAATTCACAGCCTCACTTGCAGGCTGCAGTTGAATGAGCTTCACAGAAAGGCTGGCACCCAGTTTCTTTTAGATGTGAGCTCTGGGCTGCCACAGTCCTGGCTTTGATTGGGATGAAAGTTTCCTTCAATCTGTCTACATCATCCCACAGCTACTTAGTCCCATGTCTTACCCTTTCCCACTCCTCCAAAGTCCATTAACTGCTTCTCCCAAGGTCGAGGATTGGGACTCCTGGAGATGGGGTCTGGCTTAGCAGCGCTGACTGTTCCTGGCAGCAATGGCCTTTTTAGAGAGCTTCTATATTTAAGTCACTTTAGAGCCATGTTACCTGGGGTGCTTGATGCCTGGTGGTGATGTCAGACTCAATGCTGACTGTTCCTGGCAGCAATGGCCTTTTTAGAGAGCTTCTATATATAGAGCCATGTTACCTGGGGTGCTTGATGCCTGGTGGTGATGTCAGACTCAAGGCTGCTCTCTTCTCTCACAGCGTCTGTTATTATTTTAAAGCATAATGCAAACCTCTTTATTTATTAGATTAGTAGCTGTAGAGCCTTTTGAACAGTTGCTTCAAAATGGCTTGTACTATGCCATATATCTCCCTGGGTCTCTCTATGAACAAAGAAGTGTTTCTGTTTCGTTCTTTCAGGGCCAATTTCAGTTGTTATTGAAAACCCTCTGAGAAGTGACCGAATTCAAGTGTATTTCATGGTCAGCTGCTTCCCTGATTGCTCACTGTGGGTTAAGAGCCTTCTGAGTGAGAACTGAGTGAGGTTCAGGTCTTGGGAGCCTGGTGGCTATAGCTTTTTGGGCCTTGTGGGTGGCAGAGTTGGGGAGTCAGCTGCCACTAGATAAAGGCCAGGCTTCACTCTGGGTAGACAGTGACAGCTGTGGGGTGTCAGGACAGAGACACCTGAGCCCAGGTACACCACAGTAGGCTGCACATCAGTGGAAACCAGGCTGATGCATTGGGGGACTTTTTCCCTTGGGTAGTCTAAACAATGTCTCCTCCTTTCCCTTAGTTAAATTCCCTCAAACAGGGATGAGGCGATAGAGGTATTGATCCCAGGTCTACAAGAAGCCTCAGTTACTCTGCAACCTATTCAACTTTAAACCTAAGAACAGATGAGCGGACCTAGATTCTCTTTTGGAGTTAACAATAAGGAAGGCCTGTGTCCTCTGCTGTGAACCTGGGAGAAACATCTGCTTCAGGCCCACATGGCTTTCTGAGGGATACCACAGGCCTTTTCACAGTCCCTTCAAAAATCCCTAGTCTCATTCAGAACAAATCAAGCCAGCATCACTAAAGGAGGGTACAGGGTCCCCCCACATGGGCAGACCCATATAACCTAGTTTTCTCCATCCTTGTCTCTTTGTCAGGTGGTAACATTCAGGAAACTGAGCATTAAGGAGAGTCTGAGAAGGATGGCTTGGTCAGTAAAGTGCTCGCTGCTGCAAGCATGAGGAGTTGAGTTCAATCCCAAAGACCCAAGAAAAGAGAAAGAAAGATGGGTGTGGTGATATGTACTTGTAATCTCAGTATTGGAAAAGTGGAGACAGGCAGATCCCTGGAGCTCACTGGCAAGTCAGCCTAGCTGAATTGGTGAGCTCCAGGTTCAGTGAGAGACCCTGTCTCAAAGAAGAAGACAGTGATTGAGGAAGACACCTGATGTCCACCTTTGCCTTCTGCATGCACTTACACATAGATGTGCATGAATGTGCACACACACACATACATACGCAAGGGCCATCTGAGGCAGGCTTGAGCCAGCCACTTAGTCACAGGCAAGGCTTAGGAGGAGAGGCGTGGAGATGGTCTTGTGCAGACTCTAGATGCGGAGCCTTCCTGCCTCGCTGATGTCCTTTCCTGTTTCAGATCCCAGCTCTAACACACTTGTATGGAGTTGAGGCTTGAATTCTGCCTTGATGGCCTCTGCTCTCCTCACTGCAAGAAGCAGCCAGTGCTTTGGACCAAGTCAGCAGAAACCCCACTGTTAGCAGGGAGATCCAAGGGCGTAGTTAGGGTCTCTGTGGTTACACCAGTCTCTGTTGTTGCTACAAATGGCTTATGATGATTTGAATATTTCTATTTCTCTAAGACTCAGTGGTCTAAAATGTGAACTAGGTTATTCCTTAAAAAATACAGTGAACTCAGCTCAAGCTTGCCTGGGAGCTTGGGGGGCATTGAACTAACCCCATAGTCTGGTCCAGTTGCTAGCTGTGAGGAATCCAGTGTGGCAATTTCAAAAAACCAGAGGGCCAGTCACATTAGACTCCAATGTGAACTAGAATTACCAGGGGATGGGTCCGGGTTATCACTGAGAATCTATCAGGGTCACAAGTACCTGGTAATGAAGATTTAATATATTGCAACTAGCATGTTGATTGGTGCAAAACCACAGGGAACTGGGGCTTTAAGGCTGGGGGGAAGTTTCTCACTCAAGTCGATGCCAGTGTTGCCCTCAGCCTTTTTATAAAGGATGCTCTGTCCTCTCTCAATCGCCACTGAAGAATTTCTAAAATGAGCTGGAGGACTCCCAAGGCCCGATGGCAGAGATTTAGAGAGCTGCTTTTCAGAGTCTAATTAAGGCCTCAGTCTCCAGCCTGGGTTCATGTGGGTGAGGAAGGGAGGCCTGGAGACTCCTGGGCTCAGTGTATCATGCTCTTTTACACACCCCAAATCCTTACACTGAGGCTAGAGGGGAAGATACACCTCTAGAGAACTGGGGTGCTGGGGGTGGGCAGGCTGCTGCCTTGCCCTAAAGAGGCAGAATCTAAAAGAAGTAAGGTCAGGAGATGGTACTTCTGGGGGCTTTCCAACACATGGTCTCTCCTAAAAACTGGAGATGCCCTTACTCCCATTCTGGATGCATTGGAATCAGCTTTGGGTGTTGATCTTGTATGTGGCAGTCTTACAGTTCTTTGGGGACAGTGGAGAGCTGAGATTAGGCCGCTTCTCTTCACACTGAGAGTAACCTCCAGCATTCCATGGCTGAATGGGTGCTAGAGAAATCTCCCTGCATCAGCTTTTGATCTGGCTGCCTCCAGACCATGTCATGTCAAATGGGTAGGTACTGTGTGGTCTCTCAAGTCAGCAGGTTTTAGAAGGTGTGTATGTGCATCGAGGGTTATGAGATGGGTTCTGGAGAGCAAGGAGGCTTGGGATT